CAGGTCTAGACTGCTCCAGGCAGGGCATCACACCCATGAAGTCTGTGCACAGTGCTACCATGTGACAGAACGAGGGTCACATTGATCACCTTTCACCACTGGAAGGATCTGCCACCTAAGTTGTTTAAAATGATGGGGAATGGAATATATAAGCCACTCCTGGATAGTCAGAGTTAAATACATAAGCAATCTGGAGAAATTCCTCACTCAAAACACGTCCACCAAAAGCCCTACACAATTAGAGAGGACACGTGAGCAGGCCCTGAGTCTGACACACACAGGTGTGCCAGTGCTGGGAAAGAGCGGGAAGGGCTGCTCTTACCAAACACCCCAACAAGTCTGGGCAGATGCAGGCACCGAATGCATAGCAGCTCTTGCCAGCCTAAAAGCCTGTCCTTACCTCAAAACACACAGACATAATCATCTCCATGGGAGCGGGACCTCTGCTCTTTTCCCAGGGGATCCTTTCATTGATTGCATTGAGATCTAAGGGAATGGTGCCCCCCAACTTATGAGTCCTCCCCACATGATAACTTTCTGTCTGTTATGTCCATTCACCCAATTCTCTGGACACATGGAGTACTTAGGAAGCTGCCCTCTGGAGCCCAGCAGGTAGTATGTGTGGCATAGGTGAAATCGTTGCTTCTTGACTCTGCTTCAGGCTTTCTGGGGATCTGAAATGGCCAGATGGGCTACAGTGAGGATATTTATCCTTTGGCCAAGAGTAGGGCAGCTTAAGGGAGACAGATACCTGTGTGGGACCCCACTGACCCCACTGGGTGAGTTAGTATGGGCTCTGACACACTGAGGGCTTCCTGCAGCCAGGCTCTGACCTAAACTTTTCTTATGCCCCTTTCACCCTCAAGATGACTGGGTCTAATAATAGCCTTGTACAATATAGACCACTAATGTGTGGGGATGGGAAGCAGCTTGCTCAAGGTTGCACAGGTAGGAAAATGTAATGGCTAGGACTCGCCCTATGGCTGCCTGATTCCAGCAACTAAGCCACATGTCACTACTCCTGGAAAGAACAGGGAGTTGTGTTTAGGAGGCAGGCAGCTGGGCACCCATCCTCTGTGAAGGTGGTATAGTCACTCACCATTTTTCCTCCAAGACTTTGGGGGGAAATCTTTAAGGCCAATGAGTTTGTGAAGCTGGTCCCAGTTCTCTCCCACGGATCGCATTGCAGAGAGACACAAGGACTCCACACAGACTCCTCATTTTCCTCAGGAGAGCCAAGCCACACCAGAACTGTGGAGAAGGCTCAGGTGCCAGGGTGAAACCAGGTTCCTGTCAGTCATCTGAGCCAAAGTAGTCCCAAACCAGTCTGTGCTCCAGGACCTGTTTGACTGGTTTCTTTGGAGTGTTTCACCCACGTTCGCCAAACACTAATGGGAGCTTTGGAGTATGTATTTTGTTTCCATGGGTCACGCTCAGGTGAATGCAGAAGTTGGCTTTAGCCATTCTTTCTAAGTGCCCAAACAGAAAGACAACCATCCCCCGACACTATGCACACAACCACATATATGAACACATATGCCCATTGCAGGCAATGTACACATACAACCCATGTGATATACACACAAACACATGGCACACAGATACCAATGCACATACATATATCTATGTGCAAACAGACATGTATACATATTGGTATACACCTACATACCTGTGTGCACACAAACACATATACATGGCAAAAAGCTATCATGCATGGCAATTCTGCTCTGTGGCTACAACCTCTCCCTTCCTAGCCTCAGTGACTGGTGCAGCAGCCTGAGAGATGTCTTTCTCCTTCTTCTGACATTTGGAAAGGGTCTTCATCTCTCCTCAATGAGGAGACCCTTTCTCCTCCTGGTCCACAATTGTTCCCCCTGGAAAGAGTCTGTATCTTTATGAGGGTAGTAAACTGAAAGGCAAAAGGAGGGGATGTGTCCTGGAGAGGAGTGTCCACTTCTTACATAGCTGATCTCTTCTCTCCCTCTGCTAACCACAACATCTCTCCTTTGTCTTATCAGCAAGCTCTAGCCTTTTCTGCTCAGCTTCAGTTCTTCATAACCCTCAGCATCTCCCTGTGTCCTTCCCATACAGCCCAGAAACATGGCTGCCATAGCTGAGGATGAATGGGGCACCTGCTTCTCTGCTGTAACTAATCTGCTTTGCATTTGCTTCTTAAGTGGCCCCAGGAGGATGTGTGGACAGAACCAAGTGACTGGGCTCCCCAGCCTTGGGCTCCTTACTACATAAATACTATCCCTTGTTTCTTTCATTATACAGGTAGCCTCATAGGTGGTACAGACTGCAAATGCACTTCAACTAAAAAGACAACTGCGACTGCCACACTGTAGGCTGGACTCAGCACCCAGGCAGTTGTGCATTAAACCATGAGACAACAAAACTTAACTAGGTTTTGGCAGCAAACCCATGTCATCACCTTTCCTAACTCCTAGTTTGACTGTGTCAAGCCCCTGTACTGTGGGTCACTTGTGCATGGCTGTCCCTGGTGCTGACTCAAAGAGGAAGGGAAAGAGACTCCCACCCTTGGACAGCAGGAGCCTCAGTGAAGAGACAAGAAGCTATCAGTAGTTGAATGCCCTGGCAAGAGCAAGTGTGGCCTTGGAGAAGAAGCAAGACCCACATGCAGGTAGAGGATGGAGATGCAGTCAGAAGTCATAGAGACTTTTCCTGGAGACTCTCTTTCTTTCTCCATAATATATGAGTCACCCCAAAACAGTCACCTTCCTGTCCCATGATGGGACAGAGCTAGACACTTTTCTAAAGGAAGTCTCACTATGTATGGAATGGCATTGGTTAAATCCAATGTCCAAAGCCACAATAACATTCAGAGCCTTGACCTACTGCATTGAGCTACAACTTGAAAGTGGCCTGACATCAAACAAGAAAGCTGTAATAAGAAAACAGTGACCTTTAAGTACATTGTTCTTGAGGATTACATCAAATGAGAACAAGCTTAATCGAGAACATGAAGTTTATCATAGAATAATGAAGTCTTCTGTTGGTTCTGTACTTTATACTTTGATCCTAAGTAATCTTGTTAGATATGGTGAATGTATCATCCTAGGTAACAGGGAAGATACTGAGACATAATGTACTACATCAGTGATGGAACAGGAACCAGGAACCAGGAACTCAAGACTCCTGATAGAGCTTATAAATCATTATTTAACACCAAGGGAAAAGAATAAGACAATACCTATTACAAATTTTGGATTTTAATCGTAGGCCCTGGTGATAAAATAAGAAGAAAGGAAATTTCAAATATAGATTGCTGTTTTCAAATATTATTTTAAAAATAAATCAAGGGGCTGGGTTGCATCTAGTTAATAAGAGTTCCACCCTTCCTGTACCTCCTACCAAGCCAGGTTCTGATCACCAGACTGGAATGACATTCTCCACCCAATACTGGTTTTCAGTTTCATTGAGAAATCGATTAATATTTATTCAGGCCTCAGTACTATTCCAGAACAAAGATGAGATAACCAACCTTCATCATGATATCTTTATAGAAAGAGATAGACAAGTGGGATCTTTCTTTTGCATTTCTCTTTAGGTCCTCTTGAACTCAGAAGTGAGGTGAGGATGAGGATGCTCATCCAGAGACAGGCTGATCCAGAGAGAGGAGGAATGTGTACAATTTGAGGAGGAAAGTAAAGAAGTCTTTTTCTTTTCTTAGTACAGGCAGTGGTGGGCAGTGAGAGGCCCCACCACTGCCTATACTATGAAATCTATGGAGATCAAGAGGAGATTTGCTTGAGAAAGGCATCATGGTGATTCCATGGCAAATGACTCCTCACAGGCATGAGTCCTACCCCTGCATGGATTTGACAATGGTCCTGCCAGGGTTCAACTCTTGTTCTGAACCCTGTGCCCCAGAGAGTGGGCAGAGAGGATTTTATTCAGAAGGCAAATTAGATGGGTGGCCCTTGGGGTTCTCACATGGGTTACCATGCTTAGGACTAATGTTTAGTAAAACCAGAGGGAGGCCAAGTTCTCATCTCAGTAGTTCCATTCTGCATCCTCCTGCCCCTCAGCACCTTCCAGATTGATCCTTGATGGCCATTTATTGCCTTTGAGTGTCTGGGCAACTCTCAGAAAAGACCAACCTCAGTGTTTTCTCCTCTATGAATGAAATGCATTCTGCTCATCTCCCAGGACATCAGCTCATCCCAGGACCTTAGACTTAGCAACAGAATGGAATAGTGGGAATCACTGAGCTGGAGGGGGAGCATGTTTGGTGGGGGATAAAAAGCCCTTTCTTCACATTGGAAATAGTGCCTATGGTGGAACATGTCTGCAGTCTCAGCACTTGAAAGCTGAGGTGCAATGGTGAATGTGAGGCCAGCCTGGGTGACACAGAGCCTGCGCCAAAACTCCAAACACACACAGCATCTCAGCACTGGCTATGGTCTGAATTCAGCCAGGCTCCTTACTCTCCAGAAGCTAAGGGGTTCCAAACTGAGCTGAACTCCATCCTCTGCTCTAACCTGTTGCCTTCTCTGGACTGGGAATCTGATGAAGCCCATGGCTGCATCCAGACTAATTCAACACTCCCCTCCATCCACCTGCCCCCAGCGCCACCCCTAGGAAAAGAGCAAGGAGGTGGAGGGAAAGAGCAAATGCAGTTCTCACTCCCCAGGACTGCATATCCCCACCTCTGCCCCTTGCTAGCTTCAGTCACTGTCAGGACATCTGTGAGAACAAACTGCAGGGGACCTGCACCCTAGGTATGACCCTGCAGTAAGGTGACCTGCCATCCTAGTCAGGAGAGGTTGTTAGGTCAATGATCCCATTGCCCCCATGGCAGTTGCCACAGACTCTTCTTGTAGGCCCTCCCACTCCAGTTCTTACATTTCTTGTCTGCAGCTGGTGTGTCCCTCCCTGGGAGGAGAATCTTGCCTGAGGACAGAGGAAGGGTGGGGAACCTTCCTCCTCCCTCTGCTCCAATTGCAGAAAAGGAGGGGGTTCCCCTACCCAAGAAAGACTGCCTTATAGGTCTGCCCTCTGACGGATGCTGCTGCAGATCTCAGTGGCCTCCTTGAGCTGTGGACTACAAGCCCTGGGAACAGCAGACTGACACCACCTGTTTAGCAGCAAGCTTAGAAGCTCCACAAAGTTTCAGGGACACAGACATGGCCAAGGAGATGTCTCAAGAACAGGTGGCCGCCTTCAAGGCAGCCTTTGATGAGGCAGACTTGAATAAAGATGGAAAGATCAGCAAGCAGGAGCTGCGGGAGGTGATGAAGAAGCTGGGCAAGAATATCACAGATGAGGAGCTGACACTACTCATGCAAGCTGTGGACAGGGATGGTGACGGTAGCATCAGCTTCGAGGAGTTCCTGGATGTGATGAAAAAGCAGATGAAGTCCCTGGGCAATGAGGAGATGCGGGCTGCCTTCCAACTCTTTGACCAGAATGGTGATGGCCACATCAGTGTGGAAGAGCTCAAACAGACGATGGCCAAGCTGGGGGAGCATCTTTCTCAGGATGAGCTGGATGCCATGATCCAGTTGGCTGATGTGGACAAGGATGGGAAGGTGAACTATGAGGAGTTCATGCGGGTCATCAACCAGAAGTGAGGCTTTACCCTGACCCTGTCTGCCTGACTCTGGGCTGCCAGGATCTGGCACCTTCTCAGGGACCTTGCTTTTGTGGTGGGGCTATAGTGGAAACTCTAGGTTGGTGGACAGGAAATTACCTCACAGATGAGGATGATTTTGCTCTCTGGAGCCTGGAAGCTGCAGCATCTGGGGATGCTAATGAGCCCCTCTCTGCCTACTGATTCCCTGGGTGAAAGGCGTCCTCTTTGGTCTGGTCTCTCTTTCTTTCCCACAGTGTAGTAGGTGTTTCTCACTTCACAAGGCTGTTGTGATGATCTAAATAAAAGGAATGCAAAGCCCAGCTGTGTGCTTTGTGTTTGATTGAAAAGCCAAAACTTCAGGGGCCCCCAGATAGTACATTTAGGAATGTTTTAAGGTTCATTCCCTCTCACTGGTCCTGGTAGAAAATCCTTGTTGTGTGGCTCCCATGGTCGACCTCTTGCCTCCCTTAATGCCCAAGGAAGAGCAGAGAAGAGTGGCAGGACTGGGCAGAGGGGAGTGGAGGAAACATGTGTTTTTGTCCATAGAGTTTGCCTGAGTTGCTGAGTGGCCAGAACTTGCATCTAGGATGGGCAGCACCACTTGTGTGCACAAGAAGGATGTTATCTCTGCAACAGCCTGCAATACACGAACCCCAGATAAAAAAGAGGGATGTATGTCTTTATGTGTCAGTATCTGCATGAGTGTCTGTGTATACCCGAGCCTCTGTGTTGGCCTGTGTTTCTGGCTATGTCTCTGTATGTATGTTTGTGTGTGAGTATATACGTGCATCTTTATGTGTCTATATAAGTGTCCTGTGGATGTATGTGTGCCTTGTACATATGCATGTATCTGTGTGTATGTGTGTATGCATGCGCGCACACAGGTATCATGTATTTCAGATATATAATCTTACAAATGTTTTTAAAAGATGGAGTCCTAGGGGGGCCCGGGAGATGGCTCAGTAAAATAAGCGCTTCCCTGGTAAGCACAAGGGCCTGAGTTCAATCCCCAGTTCCTGAAAGAAAAAAAAAAAAAAAAAAAAAGATGATTTAAAAAAAAAAGATGGAGTCCTGAAGCTTGGACACACTCTTTATAAATGCAAGACACTCAGTTAGGAAGGGGTCAACAAAGAAGGCACTATAATGGGCAAAGGGTAGGGCCTGCCCCTGGAGATGGGAGGCGCTTGGTACATGCAGAAGGTGGAAATGTGAGGGGAGGTATGTTCAAGGCTGAGAGCAGGTCACTGCGAATCCCAGAAGACCTGCATCCCCCAGTTGCCCAGACTTCTTGGCCTTTTAATATTCCAGTGTTGCTTTCAGGTCTTCTGTCTGAGGGACTCATCCCAGAGGGGAGTTGGAAGAGCAGAGATGATAGAGAATGGAGACTGCAATCCTGGTAACCACCCCCCAGCCCTGAGTGCAAGCAGGGCCACTATTCAAACTGGCATTAGGGTAATGTTGCATGAGACCAATAGCCTGCTTGGCATTTAACAAGCCTGGGCTTCTGCTTCCTTCTCCATGAAATGGGGGTTTCTTTGGTGAGCTAAACATTATCTCAAAGCATTAGTGATGCTGCCTTTATGTTGATCCAGCTGCGGCAGCTGTGTTCTCACCCAGGGTGGAGAGGAGCAGAACCGGTCCTCTGAGAGGATATTGCTAAACACAGCGCCTGATGCTCCCAGTCTGCACATCTGTGCTGGGCGTGCACCTGGGGTGGCAAAGGGGAGTGAACTAGGGCTGGGGCTGGGTGGTGTCATGGAGGACAGGGCAGGGCAAGGGAAGCCCAGCTCCCCTTTTGGTGCTCTAAGAGTGAGAAAGGCAATGGTGAGAAGAAGGGCATGGTGCGGGATGAGGTGAGCCAAGGGAATGGGACTGAGATGGCCACAGGTTGAGTTCCCAAAGCAGAGATTTCTTAATGCCAAGTAAGCCCAAAATGACGTTTTTCAGGTTCTGTGTAGAAAAATAAAATAAATTTTAAAAAGAAAAAGGCTTTGTGTTTCATTTTTAAAATACTGAGGGTATATTCTTCCCGTATTTCCAGGGTCAAGTTCCCTTCATGGCAGCTATCACCATAGCAGAGGAAGTTTTGGGTTTGTGGTGTTGGGTTTTGTTGCTTCACTTTGTGCACTTGCTCTGCAGCGTAGAGCGCTCCATGCATGCTCTAAATTTGGAGAGTTACTGATCTGAGAGGTATGAATGTCTGAGAACAGCCACGTGACTCTGTGGACAAAATTGATTTTCTTTTTTTTTTTTTTTTTTTTTTTTTTTTATTTATTTATTTGAGAGAGAGAGAGAGAGAGAGAGAGAGAGAGAGAGAGAGAGAGACCAGCTCAGCCCACCAGGGGGCGGGGCTGGCTGGCATGTGGTGCTGGGGGATTGAACCGCGGTCCCTGATGCTTTTGCTTAGCTTGTTCTAAGTAGGTGCTTTAGACCACTGAGCCATCTCTCCAGCCCAAAATTGATTTTCTTTGCTTTAAAAAAATTACTTCCTGCCACCTCCCCTGATTGTGAAGTTATGTGGCGTTCAGCTCAGGACAGATGTTTTCTCTGGACTAGGAGATACAGCTTTGGTGAAGGCACAAGGAGGGCCTCTAAGGGATGAGATCTGGGTGACTACTACAGATTACAGTTGCTGGTTAGCAATTTTATTCTCCATGCTTTAGGAGGTCTAAAAGTATTTTATGCAAAAACTAATACATGTACATCATGAGAAATTAGAAATTGCAGAGGGACACTTAGAGGAAAATGACCTTCCCTGCTAGGCCACACCTAAAGAAAACAAGTGTTGCTAGATGTTTCCCCTGGGAGAAATCTAATTTGCCCTTCCAACTCTGACTCTAGCAGCTGTTGGCTGACTTGGGGAAAGTGGACTTACGTTTTCATTTTAATCAACCTGTCATGTCATCATTCCCATTTCTAGAGTTGAGGGTTTGGACAAACTCTGGAGAAGTCTGAAGAATAAAATTAATGGCATTTTCTATAGCAGCATTACCAACAGCGATGCACACATCTTCCCAGATTTGTTACACTGGCTAACTCTAAGCCCTTTGGCTGGAGCGGTGACTCGGTGATAGAGTAGTTGCTTAATACATGAGGTTGGTCACCAGCATTACAAAAACGAATGAATGACTATAAGTTCTTTTTGCAATGGTGACCCAAGGGCCAAACCTTTGAGAAGAAATTCACTGGGACAAAAGTTTTTAGTTGGCTGGTGAGATAGCTCAGTGGTCTAAGTGCCTGCTTGGCAAGTGCAAGGACCAGGATTTCATCCCCAGTATCACATGCCATACCAGCCGCCTAAACTGAGTGTGGTGGCGCACCCCTGTAATCCCAGCACTTAGGGAGTTTGAGACAGGAGGATCACTATGAGTCCATGCTGAGTAGTGAGACCCTGTACCAAATAAATAAATAAATAAATAAATAAATAAATATTTTTTTTTTAGAAAGTTTTTTGTCCCACAAAGGAAGATCATTTTCCCAGAGTCCTTCATTGCCTTGTTAGCTGACTGAAACTGTCTCTGCTGTAGACAGAGAGGGTCTATTGGGTCTTCTCTTCCATCAAACCCTAACCAATCACTTAGAAAAACCACAGAACCAATTGTTTTAAGAACATGCTAGAGAAAGTAGCTAACATTGGTTTGTGGGGAAGCCATCAGAGAACCAGGACCTAGAGACAGCTGATTATAAGTTCCATGTGCTCACTGAAAAGGAATTCAAGAGCATAAGATACATGAAGGGGAATAGAATATAGAACCCCAAAACTGCCACTTTGGCATAGTATTGTTTTGAGCAATGGGATGAGCAGGTGCAGGAGAAATTCCTGCCTCTTCCCAGAAGCAGGTCACAAACTTGTCTTCATGAAGTGTCTCCCTCTCCTCTCCTTTATGAGGAAGAGAACAATGACTCAATCACTGTGACCAACGGAGACAGCATGACATATCTTAACTAGATAATTCTTATCTTCCATCATTTTCTCCCATATATTTACCACCACACAAGTGACTGTCCTGACGTGTTCCCCGGCTGCACAACTGTCCCTCAGGTGTGACAGTGAATGTGGGGAGAAGGGAAGAGAATCCCTATACACCTCAGCTCTCCTCTCTGTCCCTAGCAGCCCTGTGTCCTTTTCTGAGAGTGCAGTCTAGGTTCCTAGCACCAGGACTGCCCATCCCTGCAGCTCACAGGGCATCAGGGAGGCCAAATGATTGCTCCAAGGCCGAGGGCTTGACAGCTGGAGCGGGGGAGGGGCAAGGGAGTGTCCCTGCCCAGAAGGCTGTGGGAGGAATTCTGTACTGAATTAGAGTGAGGGAAGAGTCAACCAAAGGGAGAGCTTCCTGTCTAAGATAGCATTCCCATTTTTAAGAATTTCTGGCCTTGGGAGTAGAAAAATGAAGCCCACCAGACAGCTGAGGGAGGTAGAAGATCTATGTGGAAAAGAGGACAGGATGTTAGATACAGAACTTTTGAGGTCACTCATTTATCAGTGAGGAGTCTGTTACCAAGAAGGGCTTGATGGGGCCACAAGGAACAAAGTAGCAGACTTATCTTCATTGTCCCAGGAGAGCAAAAAGGGAATCTAAAGAGGAAGTGAGGAGCTGGGGAGATAGCTCAGTGGAATAAGCACTTGGGACCTGAGTTCAATTTCTGGTTCCGCAAAAAAAAAAAAAAAAAGGAAGTGAGTTGCCCCAGGTTTGTGAGTAAGCGTTGAAAAGAACCTGGGACTCAGGCTTTCACAGAGAGCACATTGGCCAAGCATTGGCTGTGACTCATCCACATGGCTACACTGACAAAGGTTCTACACTCTGAGGTACAGGATCTCAGGATAAATCCTGAGGGCATTTCACTGACCTTCTCAGACCAAAAATCTACAACTTTTGTTGCACAGGTCCTGCTTTACCTTGGTCTTAACCATCCAGTAGAAAAGTATGAAGACGAAATATAGGAAGTAAAGCCATGTTGTTAAGTTGAGCTGTGGGGGACTCAGGTCAATAATTTCTGACATTGCCAGTTAAACAGAAGACCCAATGCTAGTATGGGCTACTGGACTCTTTTAGAATATTTTGCTGAGTTTACACACCTATAATATTCAATAACGGAACTTAAAAAAAATGGGATATAACTATGAATGTCCATTTTGTATCTGTGTATTCAAAGTGGTTGGGATTGATATATAGTTGCATTCTCTTAATGAATAGAATGATTTGTTCTAATGGTGTTTGTAAATAGGATCACAAGTCTGCATCTTGTACAGTAATTAACCACTAAGAAGAATATATGCAGTGTATTATTTGTTGAAACTGTCCTAGCGATT